CCAGTCATAAGGGGGTCCGTAATTGCAGCTTTTGTTGCTTTGATGCTCAAATTTTTAAGATTACCTAGAAAGGTCATGTAAATGTTACATTTACATAAGAAATTCTCATTGGTGCAAGCTACAGAGTACAGAAATTACATACCTCTGTAGCTCTTGGACCCATTCGTTCATTCGGGTTTGGGGGATTTATCCGGCGACCAACATACACTTGCCCAAATCCTCCTTTCCCCAATTTTCTCTCAATTCGATAAGCTAGAGAACCACCAACCTGGACCTGTTTTGCATAAAGTAAATTGTAATTAACAAAGACACAGGGTAAGCTACCCATAAATTTTTTATCTGAATTTTACACATGCTAGCTATGTGCAATAGAACCTTGAAGAAAATCATCTGGCATAGAACCACAAAATGACGTGCACTTATCAGCAAGAGCTAACTTCCTTGTATATAACCAAAATGTTAGTATCTACTTTTTAGGTTGCCAACAAAAGCACTGCAGACCGGACATGTGAGTAAAAAAAGACTTCCATTTTCTTTATTAAAGATGATAAAAAATTGAGCTTTCTAGAGAAGTAATCAGCTGAACAATGTAACACATTGCAGAATAAATACATTGAGCCAAAAATTCACAATAAATTCCACTAAACACTGCTCCACCAATTTGACAGCAAAGTACCTAGAGCTTCCCTTTCAATTCTTAAGCACGATTTTCTCAAACAAATGTCTCAAAAAAATAATTTTCAACAGTACCACACATAAACAGACACCCAAACACCAACAGACTCAAATACAATTGAGAAAGTAATATATACTACTCTCTTTAGCAAAAATCGTTTCACCAACACAAGGCATTTCCTTAAAGATGGGGGATAGGCGTCGTTAAAAAGACCAAAACCAACATAATCAAATAAAGAGGTCCCTCCAATTTGATGTATAGAAACATACAAATGAACATTACCTCCTTGTTCTTGCATTTTTTGTCTTCACTTTCAATTCCCTTTGCATTCTCTTTTGTTGTCGTTCTTTTTTGGCTGCCTTGGTGAAATCAGTTCCACTTTTTGTGGGTTTTCTCCTCCACTTCCTCGTGGAGTTTTGTCGGATCAAATTTTTCGGTAACTGTAATCTTCTAAAATTCATCGAT